CTTCTTCTGCCATAAGCAAAGAGATCTAAAAACTAAATTTCGGATCAAAATAATGACCCGAATCACACCCAAACTCTCAAAACCAGATGTCTTCGAGGCAATATAAGCTAAAGTGGCGTAATAGAATCTGGACTTTCAGCGTTGAATGTGCTACGAAAAAAATTGCACTGTTACGTCAAAAATTGAAAACCAGAAACTGTTTAAGGTCTTGCTCAGGCAATTAAGGATAGCTAGAGTAAGATACCAACAGCCAAATAAAAGCTGTTTTACGACATGACAAAAATCAAGTTGGTAAAGATAGCCGAATAGAAAGAACACCTAAAAAAACTTCTGGTCTTCTTTATTCTCTAGCAGCTCAACTGTCTCGACCATACCAGCCGAAAGCAATTATTACAATGACCGCCCCTTCCATTACTTTGAGAAGCAAGGCGTACATCACTTCCTTTGATCCATCGTAAAACTAACAGTTAGTGACAGAATTCTTGTTGACCTATTATTATTTACTGACGTATGTAGCTGTTACTTTAGCAGTGATTTCCGTCCCTGGAACCATGCGTATTTGCAGGCAAAGGTCTTTCGGGCATCGTAAAATTTTTCGCTAAATCGTTTTCATTTACAAAACTTTTATAACTCACATCAAAATGATCTTCTCCTCTAGTGCATCAAGTGAGGTAGACAGTTAACCACACTTTGGCTAAGTTTTATAAATAGATTAGTTAAAGAACCAAGCCTGAAAACATTTGTATTTTCAAAGAAATGGAAGGAGATTTCTCGATTTAAATCAGTTTTGGTGCATTAAATTTGCAAATAGAAGTTTTTTATCTTGAAGTTTCAAAACCTTTTTTTTGATCAGTCCCATCTCTTAACGACCCCATTGACAAGTCATCCAAACTTTTTCTTACTACATGACAATTATTAATATAATACCACCCATACCTATACTTAGCTCAATTCCAATAGTAGTTTTCTGAAAGGAACTGGTAACTGAACCAATGCCAGCATATAACAATCTTCTAATCAAACATCTTCGAAGAAGTGACAACTGTGTGAGTTTTTCCACCCCGAATTTTTGTACCATTCAAATGAAGCTTCGTCAGTCATCAAGATCGTGATACCTCAGTAGTCCATAAAACCGGTTATAGATATCTGCTGTTCAGCGATAATTTTCGATGGTTGTGAAACATTTCCTTTGCATGTTAATGTGTGACGATATAGAAGTGAAGCAACAGTATTACCACTCCAAAATTTATAAAACTTTAGTGAAGATATTCCAGCAAAGCTCAGTTTAATCTTAATTATAGAGTTTAAAATCAATACTGTACTTCAACTTCTTTAAAATAAATATTATGAATACTGACCTTTGAGACCACTGAATCATCTTTAAAACCTAAACACAGACTTCTGCAAATAACAATTCTAAGATAGATATTACAAAACAGTGGAACAAGAAGTTGAAAAATTCATCAATTAAACGTTGTCATCGATCAAAGTTTCTGTAAATCGTCAGAAAAAACTAATCATTAACAGTCCAGGAGCTAGTTACTAACTAAAAATAACATAACTGCTTCAAAAAGCACATTTTCCCTCTTTTTCCAATCTTCCCATTCTTCGTCTACTATCCCATCCTAGTGTTTCGCTCATCTTTTCTCTACTTCCCTCCTCCTTTTTATACTTTGTCTCTCAACAATTTATCAACGAGAATTTATCTGTATCTTTATTCTAAGCTAGTTTTATTGCTATACCTGATGGTCATAATTATTACTAATTATACTATTATTATCGATTCAAATAACTTCTCAGCTTCTCAAACTACTATGGGTTAGTTAATTTGAACAACCAGATTTACAGCTATAATAATAACAGCGATTATAAAGTATCTGTTAACAAATAAAGAAACATCTAAAACATATCGTTTACTGTATAAAAAATTTGGTTAAAGTATTGATAGTAAAAAAAATAAAAAACTTTTTCCAAAGTTATACCTCTTCTACTAACAACTATGTACAATGAATACCACTTTGCTTATGCTGGCACATATCTGTCTATGTAACATAAATTCGTCGTCAATTTATTGTTTGTCATCAAATATAGCAAATTCCCAAATTCCTCAATAAAACCGGATAAATTTTTGTTAAAAAAAATCACCTTTATTTTGACACTCCATTTCCCTTAAAAATATTGATGAAAATTACATTCTTCTCCTTTTTCTCCTCCTCAGTTTACTCTTCACTTAATTATTCCGCCAACAACAAACAGAATCTTTTTTTTTTAAAGAAATTATGACCCGTAAAAGCTTCACAGCGGTCCTTCAGGTTTTCCAGCAAAACTTCTGACAAATTTTGCCATTTGCTGTATAAGAACCCCCATGTACCAGAAAATACTGCATTTAAACCTGTTAACTATCGTGCCATCTTCTTGATAAACCAGAATCTGATAAAGCCAAAACCCATATTCTTCCCAAAAGCAGTTTGACCAAAACAAGTGACCGAGATTTCCAGAAAGTTAAAGTACCACTCTAAGGAACGGCATAAAATTCTACGTCTCTTCAATAGTCAGTATTTGAGCACTTAGTTTTAAAGAGCATAATTTAAAAAGCACTACCTAATTGTACTCCGTCAACACAAAGGGTAAAGACAAACTAAATTAGTTGCTAATTTATTTTTGTATAGCAGCACCTTACGTGTCAAAAAAACGATTTGGACCATTCCACGTCAAATCATAAACTTTTTTAGTGGACCCTTTAAATTTTTTTTGTCCTCTGCCAACTTGTAATATTTGGTACCTGAATGTGAAATCAGAAGAAATTACCTTTGAAAGCATGCCAGCAGCAAACTTAGATCATTCTAGGGTGCAAAGGAAAATACAGTTTTGCTTAAACACAGTCATCTTCAGCGCTTTGTAGTTCTGGTCATTCATAATGAATTTTTGAAACTTGTGCTTTATTTAAAACCTTGTCAATTGTAGAAACAGAGAGGCGGCAGAATACATATTTCAACAATTTATATGAAAGAACAGATTGAAAGCAGATGAAAATGTCCTTTTTGAACAATTTTTACCTCAAATTCTTAGAAAAGCTGTTTTTCAAGGATGAAATTTTTCTACGATATATGTGGTATTTTTACAGTTGCACGAGTTATGATGCAGTTAGTGAGACTAGGCTGCAAAAATCTTCAGTTGAAGTTGCAGCATGACACCCTACAAATACCAACACTCCGGTTTCAGCTGAAGTCCTGTCATACTGAAAAACCGTTTAGGTCAACTAGTTAAGTGACAGGTATTTGAACAAATACTTTTTGCTGCTGAGTGATCTGAACAAAACGGGGGTTAAAGGACCAACTTTCAAACGTAATACATTCCAGAGGAAGAGGTCGTCGCCGGTCCTAATAGATCATATAAAAGCAACCTGAGTCACCATTCACTGCCGCCAAATTTTCAGCAAAGTTGCAAATCACAGCGACGCTAGACAGAAAATGAAGAAACTATATTCACTATCAACATCCACCATTGAGACTATTTTGGTCGAAAAAGCTCAGTGAAGAAGCAAACCTCCACATTAAATACCTGTTACTGAACCAGTGAAACTGAACCGTGCTTCAATACAACAGTATTTTAGTTGAATCCTTAGCATTTTCTCTTGTGAGGGCGCCGTAATGCTACGTTAACTGAACGTTTTTTGCTGACTAGTCACACTAATTTTACCACAACTCGCGGTACCATAAAAATACCTTGAGGTTCCAGTATGTTGTGCAAGAGATCTCAAAAAAATTTTTTCAAAAAAAACTCCAGTCTAGTAAGGACATGCTTTCTAATTCTTATTTTTCGTCGATCCTTTTAGCCAACTTGTGCACCTTGATATTTTCCTGATACTGCAAAACAGCCATTCAAATCAAGTAAAAATTACAAAAACCCATTCTAAGTGAAAAACCACAAACTTTTAAAAAAGACCATTTTGGCTGAAAGTGTTCTCTCTAGCACCTTGGAAGGGAACTAACTTTACCGCCAATTCAGTTCCTGAGGTATTCCCTTCTGGTCTTGCAGTTTGGTACAAAGTCCTACAAGGTGGGAGAGAATAAAATCCGAGAAGTCGGCTAAACAAGTTTGTGGCGTGACACGGAACTGCCCACTTCTTTTTTATTTCAATCCCTCCTCCCTCTCTGAGTGACCAAGACGCCTAACCTGACAACGTCATTAATAAACTGCAGCAGTTAATAGTTTATAAAAATAATTGTAGCTACTTTCAACATTTCAAAGAATTTCACAATAAACACCCGGAGAACCGACATTATGCGGAACGACGGGAGTAAATGAGCTACCTAAACAGTCTCTTACAGCGAAAAAGAGCAGAACAAAAAAGCATATTTCCAGAAGTGTGGTTAAAAAACTACTGAGAAAAATCAATCGAACAACTTAACAGGTAAAACTTCCCTTCGCTCTCAGTTATGGTTCGATCCGTTTCAACTGTTTTAACAATCTTTAAGTTCAAACATGCTTTATTGATAATACATTCTAAAGCAATCAAACGAACAGTAATAAAAATAAAAAATGAGATGCTATTTCACAGGCTACTGGTATGAGATATTAACCGGTACTCAGTAAGTGCTAACGCATGATTAAAAGCTATGATTTGATTAAAAAATAAGGTTTTTCTGACGAGTATTACACTTATCTTAAAACAATGAAAGAGCAACTACAGACAAATAGAAAATACGAGCTGTATCAGTAAAGACCTATATAGCAAACAAGACAGAAAAAAAAACGCATATTAAAACATCTTACGGGCGAAATCCTGTCCATAAAGGATTTTAAAGCATATCGCAACAATGCATGCAAGCGATAAGTATGTCACAACAGGCACTGCTTTTAGAAAGTCAGGCACATTATCCAGATTCATAATCATTTCTTATTGTGCGATAAGGAACCTTATTACACAAAAATTTGTGAATTGCGTGGAAATTAATGTATTATAAGCCTATTCGATGACTCCAAGCACAGCACCATCGCTAACTCGTAGTAACAAGTGTGTAAATCATGGAATATAAATAATAGAAAAATGATATCAAATAAAACCCAAGTTTAATCCAACCTTCCCTTAGGGCATTTTGCAACTCCGACTGACTCATAATAGTAGTTGGGTCATAAATCCCCGAATCAGACATGACTGGTCGATTCATATATCTGGAAAAAAAAGAAAGGTACTAATAATAAGGGCGCAGCTTAAAAGAAGAAAATTCAAAAAAACTTCTTATGCCAAACCTATGTATATGATAGGCAATCAGCGGAGCATTCCATATTACACCACCCCACTGCATCGAAAAAACAAACAAGGAAGAGAATCCAAAATGTAGAAGATATTCTGGCAGGATAAGCTGAAAAGAGAAATATGTTTAATGACACAGCAACCTGAAAATCAAACTAAAGTACTTCATTCTATCCGTAAATGAATTCTCCCTTCTTTAACAATATTTGATTACAATGAGTAGACCAATCTAGCTCATTACAATGTATTATCCACAAATAGCAAAAACCGGGAATAATTGAAAAATTAAATCAAAGAGAGGACCCCAATAGTCTTTCAGAGCAAGTCACAAGTCCTGGTATTTATAACTTTCCGAACTCTGTAAGAACACAACAGGACTCGACTTTTCAAAATTTTTACCCTTCAACGTTTTTATTAATGATATTCCAAGATATTCTGATCGATGTTAACTCTGCTTTAGATTACTACTGTTCAGTTGTTGAAACTTCCTTAATAACGGCCTTAAGGTGATTGAATGCTTTTGGGCAACGATAAATTGATAAAAGTTTTTTAAAGTTAAACCACGCATCTTATTTGTACAGACTTCCCAAGTATCAGCCACGAAAAAGCAAGCATTGTTATCTCCACCATCTTCCGGAATCGTATGAACAGCCAACAGGTTCCTTGACAGCAGAAAAACAGAAATTTTTATTTTGATCTTTAAGTGTCTCTTGACACCACATCATACTTAAATTTCCCCCTATACTGTAGTGCCCCCTCGCAGAGTAAAAATAAAAAAAATGCAGTAACGCCTATTATGGAAAACACACCCAAGTTCAATTAACTTTCCTTGTTGCTATTCTCATTCAAATCTAATTCACTGAGTTTACAAGTCTTACGTGGCTACACTCACTTCGCACACCCGAGTGACTACCAATAAAAGAGGGCGCAACTTCGGAGTGTTTTCCTGGACAGTAATTGTATAATACAAGGAAGACTTCTGTTTTGGTCTAACCAAAAACCGAAATATGAAAATAAATTGCCTAAAGTTTTACAAAAGTAAAACAGAAAAAGCGGAAACATTAGGAAAAACTTATGAAACTGAGGCAAAAAAGGAAAAGTGCAACTTTTAACCCGATCTGACGATAAACGGATTGCCTCAAATTATGAAATCAGGCGCTAACAATATCTACCAGCAGCCTTTACATGAAACCAAGAGCACAGTAAGAAGCTATCCAAATAATCGCGTAAATTTTATTTTGCTGCTTCGCACTCTAGCTCCGACAAAACTTATTTAAGCAAGGTGACACAAAAACAAGAAAAAAACTAACCTGATTCAGAATTCTGCATTGCTCAATAGGGTTTTTATACTCTGTTTTCAGCTCATCGATGCATATAAACTGCAAAGTAAATTCAGACTCGATTATTTCTAAAGCTCCTTAAACAACTTAAAAAATTTTTAGACTGGAGCCGATTTACCAGCCAATGTTGGCTTTTTTAGTGAATGACTCGGGTGACGTCCTCTTTACAGATGTCCGATAGCTTTAGCTTAAAATTAAATAGTACACTAAACGAAATGGACGTTGGCTCACTGATAAAATCGAAATGCCGTATGTGCGGTAAAATGGAAAAAAAGGTAAAGTAATACGAACAAATAAATAAATAAATAACATACCGTGAAGATAGCGAAAAATATGCAAAATGCAACGGCTATCAAAGCAATCAAATAGCAAAGTGCAGCAAAGGTAAATGCCATAATAACGGTCCTGAAAAATAATAGTACTACTGGTCTGATTACCGAAAAAGCAAGGATAAACACTCCATAAACGATAAATTACGTAAAAACATCCCAAAACACATGTTTCAGATAATTACAGCAACAAATGTAAGGGTAACCATGTTCTACAGAAAATAGCTATAAACCAAACCCAATAAAGTCTTTTCTTAAACACTGATGTAATAAATAGTACTAGAATTTAAAATTTTTCGCATCCAAGCAACTCTTATTATTTTTAAGCAACGAAAACCGCACTCTTCGTAGTATTAACTCACAACCGGCAACCAACAGCATCAATATATGCATAGCAACAAAGAATGCTCGCCAAATTCTTGAATAACGAAACGCACAGAAAAATTATTCTCGTTATCAGAAATATAAGTAACGCGTTAAGCAGAAACACCCATCTATATTTATAGATGTTAAATATGTGTTCTGATTTGCCTGGTTCATCAAAAAGTATTGAAAGATATAAAAAGATGCAAACGAGTCGGAGCCGACTGTACAGTACATCCTGCACATAACTCTAGAAACAACAGTTGTATACTTCAGAACACACTTTAACTTAAGGAGTGAATGCAAATAAAACATTAGGATAGGTATTGTCAAATCACCATTTTTTGCAAATGTTTGTCGCACAATGCTGAATGCATACATGACAGATAAAGACTACGCAAGTTTTTGCTTGAATGGATTTCATAAGATCAGCAAAAAAAAAAAAAAAAA